TGTGTGTGTGTGTGTGTGTGTGTGTGTGAGAGTGTGTGACCGCTCTGCATGAAGTTGATGTTATTTTAGCTCTTCTGTGCGACAACATCGCAGTTCTTGTTATATTTGTCTGCGTTATCGGGAGTGCAGGTGTGTTGTCTTTTCCTCCTCTCCTCCCCCCTCTCTGCTGAGTATCAGTCTGAGCTAAAATCAGTGTGTGTTGTTGCCAGCAGCACTGCAGTCTCCCAGCTCTGGACCTGCACCGCTTACTCAGCACTCAGGACTCCAACCCTTGACTTCCCAAAACAACCCACAGGGACACAAACAAACACACAAACACACACAAGCACACGCAGATTATATTATCTCTTTTTACCACATTATGGTGTGATATTATTACTATCTGTTATATTATTACTCACATTAAATATGCATGCACAGTAACAGATGTGCTCACACATGCATATAATCCAATAATTGCATACTTTATGCAAGCAAGTGTACACATTGAGACACTGTGGACATTTGCTGAGGTACCCACAGATGCACTGTCGTTTTCTGCCTGCAGAGGTTTAGGGTTTGTTCATGCAGATTATAGGTGCAAGGAATTATTAATTTCTTTGATTAATCTGCCATTTTTTCTCTGTGAATCATCTCTGTGTGTCCTCTAAAATGTCAAAGGAATAGGCAACATCAGATGTCTTAGTTTACTTAACTTTCATGTCGGACAAAGAAAAGCAGCAAATGATGTAATAAGCTGCACCCAGAGAGACAAAAAAAAAGATTAGGAAAGGATTATTAAACTAGTCATGCCTCGCAGTTGATTAATAAACTAAGTTGGACAGACTATATATATATATTATATACAGTGTAATGGTCATAATATAAATTCCCATATTACAGTATGTTTCCCAGATAACCATGCAAGTGTAAAGTTAGTGGTCGGCTTTTGCATTTTTAGTGAGATTACCTTAATTCAGGACATTAAATACAATGTGTCCACATTCTAAAAGGTTAGGTGGCATCATATATTCAGAAAATCTGATGTAAAGGAAATCTATTTCCTGTGATTTCATGCTAAGATGGATCCAGCGCTCTCCGTGTCTCAGTTTCCAAAAGACCCAGTAACTGTAAACACAGTAGCAGTGGTATAGAAATGCTGTGTCTAGTGAAACAATGGCCACTTTGTACAGCTCCTGGTTTACATCCATTATTGATGAGGGAGTCAAGTTCCACACCAGCCTGACTGACTGTATGTGAGACAAAAGGGCTGAATCATGTGTGTGGTTTAGAATATGTGGTTGTGCGTGTGTTTTTGTTTGTTTCTGAATGTTTGGTACCTGTGCATGTGTGTGTGCATGTGTGTGTTGCAGTGATTCATCATTCATTAGTGCAGCCCTGGCAGTGCCATAGATCTCTTTAGCTTCCCAAGCTATAGATTCCAATTTGCTGCAAGCCTGGGACTTTTATTATGAGGATATTGATTTGAATTTCATAGTGAGCTCAATAATGCTGGGTGGTAAACAGAGGATTTGGTCTTGGCTCAGATAAACAGACCAATTCCTGAGAAAGGGGACGCAAGAAAACAGACACAATAAATATCTCACTAGACAGATTACAGCTGCAGCATTTTACTGACTGCACTTCCTTCATAAAAAGGTAATTTCAAAAGACAAATTGTAAAAGACGACATTACACTTTACCTCTATGTTGTGTAGAGACACTACTAATCAAACCCACAACAATGTAGAGGTTTACAGATAACCACAGTTCATAATGTGACTTTAAAACAGATTCCAGCATCAGAAAAATACTGTTGCGATATGGTTTTTTTTCTTTAAGAGATACATTAGCTCCACTGAGGGTGTCCTAATCTGTCAAACTCTAATTGTAGAAACTGAAGTTTAAAATACAGCTCATCACTAACCACTGTGCCACTAACCACAGTAGTTTCTGCTCTGCTTAGCTTAGCTTTCAGTGATTCATTAAGATGTGGGGAAAAATAACTGACACCTGGTTTTAGGGGAAAAATGTACAATTGCATGATGATATTTTATTGTACTGACAAAACAAGTATGACTGATGTCAGATGTGACGAGTCTAAACAAAACTGCTTTCTTCATCTCTCCTGATGGGTTCTATTTATTCTTTATGCATCATTTAAAGCTGCACTAGACAATACATTTGTTATTTAAAACTGATATATATGTTTTTCTTTGAGTGACAAATCACAGAGTATTATTTCTCGAAATTGCAGTTCCCCTCGGCTCTACTGAGCATTTTAGCGTCTTTCAGCCCATAACTTTAAAGATGCCCTGTGGAGTTAAAAAGAAGTTATGTTTACTTCTTTCTTCACTCGCACATTGCGGCATATGTGGCACTTTACTGCCACCTGTTGATCAGTATTGTATTGTGTCATTTATATGTAAACATACGACTGATAAGTTAGTTAGTTAGTTAGCTAGTAAACTGTAACATATTGGAGCACTTAGCAGCAAAAATTTGTCCCCAGGACTTGGAGGAGACCAATTTAGAGTTAAAAGAGTCAACATTTTTTATTCTTTTCTTTTTTTAAATATTTTTACTGCAGTAGATTCTCTTTTTAGTCTTAATCTCTTTAATCTTGTGTATAAATATAAATGTATTGACTGCCAGTGTATTGAAATGTTCCCACAGGCTGCAGCACGTCCACAGTTTGAAAAAAGTTGAAATGCGTTTGCGTTTGGCTCTGTTGTATACTGCAGTATCATCTGCGCCCTCCCCAAACTGTGTCCTTCAGTCCTTCTGAAAAAAAAGAAAAGAGAGATGGACTCTTTTTACTTCTCCCTCGCTCACACATGTTCCCTGTTGATTAAGGCCTCCTCAGTGGCCAATCTCTCAGCAGTGGTCAGACTCCTGAGCAAGAGAGAAATTTAATCAAACTCCGACCAGGAAACACAATCATAAAATATGAATGTTATATAAGCAATCATCAGCAGGGCTTTCTGATAAGCCTATAAATAATACAGACGAAAGTTATGTAAACGAATCTGGTGACAGGATAAAACACATTTTAGAAATCCCTCTGCCACTCATGCATCAGCACATGACCGATATATACCTGCTAGTATAAATCATATGGTTTGTTTAAATCTCTAGATTGTTTTTCTGTCATATCAGCATTTATTTTTTATTGCAGTGGTGAGTAAATCTTCTGATTATGAATACATTATTTTAGAGAACAACCCTTCATGCTTTTCCTTCTGCGCTGCATCTTCAGTATCGAGGGGCCTAATGAGGAGTCTGAGGAGTTTTTGTCACTTGTGATTATGTTTCTCATTAGCATTATTTCCCTTAAAGCGCTGCACATCACATTTATCATTCTCACTGTTTTCTCTCACCGCTTTCTCTCACTGCATGGTAATGATGCTGCGTCCAGTTTGCTGGGAGAAGTGGAAAAACGCCAAGAGAAAACAATTAATGGCACACCAAACACCCTGAGTGTTCATATGTCACTGATCGTGTCATGCACGCCTTGTAAAGACAGAAATATGCTGCAGGGTAAGATGAGAGTCGCAGTGGGTGATGGGTTTTTTCCCTGGCAGCCTGTGAAGGATAAAGAAAAGTTAAAGTGAGCAATGGAGGAGGTGAGGTGACTAAAAATGAGAAGGATCTGCATAGGGGTTATTGTAGGTCAAGGGAGATGCCCTGTCTGACTCGGTCAGACAGAATAGAAGACATGGGTCTGTACGTGGGTGTGTACAACAGAGGGATAAACCAAGGGAGAGAGGTGTTTTCTGAAAAGGCCAGTTATTGCAATGTCTGGCAGTAT